TAGACGCCGTACATTCATGAATGTGAATCAGATGAGGTCTTAAGAAAGGTTTACTCTAACACTTCAGTGAAGGAACTTTATTTACTTCGACGTTTTCAGTATATAAAGAACACAGAAGGCTTTTTCATCGGTTCTCATCACGAGAAAAGTTGTAGAACGGCGACCATTGACCGCAAAGGATAATATTACTGAGTTTGTAGCACTGAAAATTACTTTCAGATTTGGTTTCGATCGGAAGCCTCAAGTTAAAGAGAAGAAAAGAATAGAGGATGCAATCCAGAATGATAGGCAGCAGGACTAGCATCAACATTCAGGGAAATAAATCAATTTTCATCACTGAAATAGTCAGTGACAAAAGATTCTGGTGACTATTCATCGTGTACCATACATGAAAGCAAAGTTCCATTGAATCAATTAAATCCCTTACTGTTGTTTAGAAAACTCATTCGTAAAGGTTTGCGGTGTGATCCAGTAAGAATAGAACAGACTTAACCAGGTATGTTCTGGGTGCCTAGTATTGTTCGTTTGTTGCGATACGCAAACTAGTATTTATCCCGACTATCAGTGCCTGACTCGATGCGTGAGAGTGCGAGTGTTTCAAATGCATCTTTTATGCTGTCGCTTTCCCTTTTGTGTACAGGAGTTATTCATTTTGATCTCCAGCAGTCAGCTGTGGTGTTTACTTCCAGAAATTTGTTGGAGAATGCCGTCAGGTGTTCTGCTAGATACGTGATCCATTCTTTGAGGACGATGGTTTGGAATGCATGAGGCTCCACAGCCTCCTCGGTTTAAGCGTCCTCAACTCAGATCACACTTGACTGACGTTGATGATTTAGCCAGGTTGTTGTTAGGCTCCATAATCAATTCCGATATTGCTACAGTCAGTGGTGATATTGGAGGTGTGAGTGAGTTCTTCAGTCGTGGGCCCATAGCCTAACGAGCTCAGATAGCAATTTCTTCTGTGTTCCAAATATGTCTTTGAGAAATTTCCAAACAAGGTTTCGCTACAGAGTTTTTCCGAATTTCTGACATAATAAAGAAGGTGATCTGCTGCATCTTTGGCAAACTTGACCGTCTAAACTCGTTCTTTTTCGTCTAGATGATTTCCACTAAGGGAAAAAATTTTCTAACAGCATATATAGCAAAATTCGAAATAAATTGTCAAATAATCGCAGTCGTTAAATTGATCTGAATCAGTGCCTGCAATCATTTTTTAAGCAATTCGGGTTTTCTGTCTCCGTACGATGGTGCGTCAAATGCTTTAGTGTTTACGGTATGATCAGAGTTGCACAAGTGGAATTTTCTTGATAGGGAGGATCTTGAAGCTGCCCCCAAAGGCGAATTCCATTTGTTTGCTTGCTCCTGTATGGAAGTTGACCATATTTGTCAGTACCGAGCAGCTAAGACAACTAGCATCCGAGTGACTGAAGTCACAAATAACAATGAGGAGTGATGTTTTAGCGTGTTGTGTTAGTTCCGTTGCGAATATATGCTCAAACGTAGGCGTATTGGTATTTAATAAGAAACCTGGATTTATATTCGCTTCGCGAACAATAAATGTGATCGTCACTATACCTATGAAACGTTTTCAAAGTGTTGCTCTGGGAACTTTCAATGTACGTTACTAGCCCCACGCCAAGATTTCGTAGCTGACACGTTCGATTGGGAGAATATTGTACCCTAGATTTTCACCCAGTGAATCAGGGGTATCTAGCTCTTGCCATATCTCTTGAAAGCTATGATTCCACTTGTGAAAAATTCTCAGCGTGTTATCACACAGATCAGGTAATCTTTTTTCCTAATAGCTCCAACTCCATAACGCATTGCTGCCTGCGGGCGAACATGGTGTTTTTTGAAGTGTTTAATGTTTTCGCTTCAATCGGTTGCAATCGTGACTGCTCCCTTTAGACTACTATGGTTGCGGCATGTTGCAAAATAGGTTCTCACGAAGCACGATGTTTGCCAAGATCGGTAGTTTATAGGCAAAAGTAAAGACCTGTCAAACTAAGACCTGACATAAGAACATGATAATTCTAACCAGGCGTCACATAGGTCGCGTTCATCGCCCGGGCTGGAGACCATGGGATCAATCGTAACCGGTGGAGGAGGAAACAGTGGTATGACTGAGTGCTGCAGGCAGTCACGCTCTTTTGTCTGCTCATTATCCTTGCAATATTGGTCCATATAAATTGTCTACATTCTCTTTGACTATGCTCAGAATTTCCCAATCTTCTTTCTGTTCTTTTATCCAAATGAGCAGCCTAAACAACCACCATAAACGCCGCGCGAAAGTACGCGGTTAGTGGTCGTAAAGGCTGAACTGATTTAAATCGTATGTGTTATACATTTTTTGTCAGAATTTACTGATAATTCCGATTTCGGACAATGGCGCATTATGTTGCTGGTATTTAAAAAATGAACTTGACCGGCCTAGCTGAAATCCCAATATACCTGTGCTGGCAGGTGACTTTAAAACACAGGTTGGAAAACTGACCAGAAATCTGTCTAAGAGGTCTCATGTGTCTTGCTCTCATATAACGAAATACGATGATCGACTACTGCGCGGATCACCGTTTGTTCCTGTGGAGTACTAACTTCAGACAGTTCTCAACGCGTGGCCGCAGAGTGCTGAAGCTCAACGAGTAAGGTGACCGAAATTGATCACTTAGATGTCGAATACCGTTGACTGGGCTCAGTACGATATCGTGTCTCCTATTAGATACTGTGCGTTAAGCCTGATCACGCATTATTCTTTGTGCGCCTTAACCTTTGAATCCCTAGTCTCCGGAAAACATCTCTTCCTATTTTAGCTTCTCATCCCCTGTTTGATCCAGTTGTTTGCGTCAGTTGTGAGTGAAAGCTATGGCGTGCACTAAGAGCCGTATGACCTTTCGCAGTAGGTTAATAATGAGATCAGATTAGAAGTACAGTTCAATTTATGACAATCGTTGCGTGTGGCCGAGCGCATGAAGCCCTTCCAAGACACTAGCATTAGTGGAAGAAGCAAAAGATCCCATTCGATCAGAATCACAACAGGAATAGGTGGCGTCAGCAACGTTATGTTAGGGAAAGCTTTCAGGAGTGCGGAAACTGGTGAACCAAAGTGGCTAGTAAAATGGAAGTAGCTGTTGCCTCAGCGACCTTTCAGAGGCTGTTCCAGCTGACACGCTAAAGCAAACGTCGGCCTATCTCGGTCAGAGATGTGATCAGCTATGAATGTAGATAGAGCATTCAAAATAAGAGAAATCTACTGGATCGCTAGGTGGATTATTTCGTGGAATTATGCAGCTGGTCTGGTGCCAGCTAGGTTACTCCGGCGGTTGCATCTGATGCTTCATGAGTGCTATCATGTAAACTCCAAACACAAATAGAAGTGAAGACTTGAATTCAAGCGCTGAGGATAGGAAATGTCATCGAACCTGACGCTCTTTCTTTCACTTTTCAAGATGGAACTCCCTCGTAGGTTCTTTTGGAGTTTTAACGCATCAAATCTGATCGCAGAGGCGTACCCATTCATGCTTGTGCAAATCACTGATTGTTCCGGTTTTCAAAACGGAAGTACGCTGTCTGGGGAAACCGCAATGGAACGAGTTTAATTTTGACTGACACCTAAGCGTTACCCTTGGTAATGCTTTACGGCCTAAGAATTTCGTTTGCCATCAATAGTAGTGTTCATCAAGGGTACCTTGTTACACTATTGTTATTCGATTTAGTTGTAGACGAACTACCTAGAAACACCCTAATTGGGTTTCGAAATGTTGACATTGAATGGGCAACTGGAGAAAATTTACGCCATTTGGTTTACGCTGATGGCATCCACTCTCTGTTCTTATGTATGGAATATTCGTTAGACGCACTTGACAAGTTAATTTGGTTTGTTCCTTCATTCGGTATGCGTTTTTCACCTTCAAACAGCGAAATGATGCTTCAGGACTGATTGGTAACTACTCTCGATATTGCATATCCTGTAAGTCCAAAGGTCGCGTATACTGTGCCACTCCTCGGTCACCTATGCTTAGCGTTTGTGTTTGGAAAATATCTTTTGGTTGGAATGCTTCGACCACGAATGCTTGAGTAGTTTGGCGCGCGTAGGATAGAGCTGGCGGACAGTTTACACTGAAGTAATTCATTCAGATGCGCTGCGGTTGAATCGTCGTCCCATCGAATTCACATTAGCTGATGATAACGCATACTGCGCATGCCCAGCATCTGTTGTCCTTACCGCGATTTATCTGCGGTTGCTGGTCTAGGGTGTCGAAAATCACAGGAAGGTTAACAGATGACGCGAAAGAGAGACAGAAGGCAATGCTCTGAGGGATAAGGGAAGATTTTTTCTTCCATCTTCCAGTTTGGGGTTCACACGGATTTTAAAATTGGTTGATTGGAAACACTAAAGAACATAATGGCGGACGGGCAATATTGTCCTACTTGTCATTTCGTATTACACCAGAATACCTGAAATGGTGTTTTATGTGTAGCCAGACTGAGTACTCTGTGAGTTGACCACATAAACTGATTTTATTTATCCCTTCCTCAAAACAGGCTCATTCACCACCGACCTTAAACTTTTAAGCTTAATTTGTATGCATTATGAGGTGCGTAGCAATCTTCTGAGTTCACCTCACTGTATTTTGCAGTGTGATGAATGATGCTGATGCTTACAATCGAATCATTCATCGTCATAATGATTCCTATCCCATGACTCATTTGATCCTGTTCGGACCCAGACATTTGTGAAATACCTGCATATGTCGGTGTCAAACTCCTTTGCTTTGGGTTTCCGTATCCGTGATATCTTTGCTTCACCATCTACTCGTTTAAGTCTATTCACCATGGCAGTCACATTTGATCAGACCATGGCAACTCAGTTGCTCTCGTGGTGGCTGTCCAGCGCTGTGCCTCGCCCAGTGTGACTCATCATATCGCGTACCGACTGACGCACGTTACCACGTACAATGGTTTTTTGGTTGTTCATCGTCTCTCGGCAGCACTATTGTCATATGTTGATTGCACTCTGTCCTGAATATGTGCGTGCTTCATGCTTAAATGGTTTCAATTTTCGCACACAGTTCGCCAACGGTGGATGTCTGGCCTCTTTGGTCTCCGCCAAAGGTGTAGACTTACCGTGGTCTGTCCGTGCTGCACTGGCTCTGGATATAGCCAAAGGCGTAAACTATTTGCATTCTCAGAACGTCATTCATCGTGATTTATCCTCTGTGGTAAGTGCACACTGCAGTTTTCGGGATCGATGACTGTGAATTGTGTGGTGTTACAAGTGTTTCGAATTAACTCAGCACATCTCATTGTTCGCTGATTGATTATCTCAAACTAACGCTTGCATTTATTATTTTGCAAAATGAATCTGCTTATAACGTGAATTTGAGGGTTGCGATCGTTTCCGGTATTCTTTTTGAGCATACTGTCAATACAAGTTAATCAATTGCTTTATGCTCATTAGTGGGTGATTAATCAACAGCCACTTTGCGTGAAATAAAGAGTAGTATATCACAGGAAATTCATTCTTTAACATTTGTTGTCTGCCTACAATAGCATCATGTGCGGGCAAGGTAAACTTGGGTTCTAATCTATTTTGAATATTGTTCAGTGATTGCAACTCACAGAACCAGATATCAGCGACCGAGCACAGCTCAGAAAACATAAGCCTTACTGTACTCGGACTGCAAGGATTAGACTGAATTAATGTCACTGGAGAGCGATGTTTGTCATGACTACAAATGTAGTTTAGAGCAGCAGCAGAGTGCTGATCGTTTGCGAAATGCTTTGGGTGATGACGCTCCTTCAAGAGGGGTTTGCGGAACTGAAGGGTGGCACGCTGTCCCTGGATGGTGAGACACGATTTGGTTGACCTATGGAGGCTACCACAGCAGACAGCATTGTTGATGTGCAAATTTTGGTGAAGTAGAATGCGCGGATAACAGTGACGCAGCTGACGAAAGACATCGGAAGCTCATCGGGATCAATCCACACCATCCTACATGAGAAGCTTGGTCTCAGAAAGGTTTGTGTACGATGGGTACCTCGACAGACTAGCTGGGCACAGTAAACAGTTCGGATGAATTGGTGCTGCACCATGCTTGCCAGGTCTGATGGTGCACGTTCCAATGCACTCTGGAAGGTCATCAGTGGTAATACAACTTGGGTGTACAGTTTCGACCCAGAGACCAAGCAACAATCGGCTCAGTGGACGCCGGCTGGTGGGTCGCCACCTCAGAAATTCCAACTTGAGCGTACTGTGACAAGGTTGATAGTGATTGTGTTCATGACCAAAAGTGATCGTGTGACTACCGTTCCTCTCGTACAGCAAAGCACAGTCGCTGGAGCCTGGGAAGTCTGCAGAAAGTGCAGAAAGCTGCTGCCAGGCTTCGTCCGAGGACTCGCGCATGACGGACCTTGTTGCACCATGATAACACACTTGCACACTGGTCCCATGTCGTCGGCGATTTTCTAATTAGGGAATGCATCCAGGAGGTTGTTCATCCACTCTACAATCCAGACGTGGTTCTGTGTGGCTTGTCTTCCCAAATGTCAAGCGCATTGTTTGTTATACTAAAGTGAATGCAATAACAGAGATAAAACCGATAATCCAAGAATATACTGTACCTAGGACTTACTTCTATGTATTCTGACGCTTCTCCAACATGCACAAAACATTCTACACCGTACACACCCTCCTCCTCCCAGCCTCCCTCCAGCTCATCTCTACCTACCC